TTTTTTCATTAGGATATCTCCCGTGCTAGTTTTCCATACTCACACTTGCCTGCTCATTGCATGCTTGCATACGCACCCTTGCATATCATGGCATACTCACCCTTGCATATCATGCTTGCATACTTACACTTGCATACTTTGACACTGGCATACTTCGCACTTGGATGCTTTCGCTCTTCCAGTGTGTGTGTGTGTGTAAGTGTGGAAGTGTCAGTGTGTAAGTGTAAGTGTCGAAGTGTCAGTGTTCAAAGGATTTTCCGGAAGAACCCTTCGCAATGCTTTCGGGAAAAACATGAACGTGCGTGAAACAAAATACAGGGTGGGTCCCCATAAGATGGCATATCCTGACCCCATATGACCCCTGACTTCAAGATCGAAAACTAAGGAAAACGGCCCTCATGCCATCTTAAGTCTCCTACGACATATGCCATCTTATCGGGGTGTCCTATAATCTATATGACCTAGCAGACATGGCACACGCAAAGTGAAAAAGTAGGTAAAGGTTGACCCAGAGATGTTCTTCCAAATTGACAAGAGTACCTGAACCTGCCTTTGCTGATATATGCCATGCTGTTCAAGCGTGATGTTTCCCTTGCCAAGCCTGTAAAGTCTATGGGGCTGTTTGTTCTTTTTGTACTTCAGCACCAAAAGACCAAGTTTCGGGCGGAAGAGAAGAAGACTAAGACATCATCAACGTGAACAACAGGCAAATATCAAGAATAGTTTCACCATGTTTGAGTTCTCAAAATGCATCCTGTAGCTGTAGGATGTTTGCTGGTGATAGTTTACTGTTTACTTGTTTGGGAGATGGCCTGATGGCTGATTTTTTAAGACCCTGGTGAGGTGGAAGCAAGGAGGCCTTTCATTTGGTCTACCAAGCCTTTGAGAACTTGGCGGATCCAGAAGCCCGGAAGCGCTACGACACTCAGAGAGCGACCAGCGCGTCATCCAAGCAGAAGGCGAAGCCGAAGAAGTCGGCACAGCCTGAGAAGCGTGCGGCACCACCGAAGCCAGAGCACACAAGTCAGGCGTCAGGCACGAAGCAATCCGAGACACCGAGGATGTTTTCACACAAGCTGTTGACAAGGCTCTATGAACTCTTGAAAAGACTCCCACGGGAGGTTCGAAATGACATCATCCAGAAGGAGTTCACACAGAAGCAGCGAATGCTTTTTGAGAAGTGGATTGTGAATCAGCGGGAAGCTGAGACTAAGAGAGAAACTGAGCAAGCCGCTTCCATGATGCTATCTTCAAGTAGTGCTGCAAAGCAGGAGGCTCCTACATGCCACACAGGACTAGAACCGCCAGCACAAGAACAGACAATTGCTGCAAATTCCAGCACTTTGAGTCTGATTCCTGCACAACCCAGGTCTTGGAAAAAGAGGAAACAGAAGGTAGAAGTGAGAGCTCAGGTGGGTTTGGATTCACTTTGTATACTCTCAAGGGAGTGTGATTTGCCAACAGCCATTGAGTTTTTGATCATCCTGTCATCGGTGAAGCAGAGAATGCAAGGTTCCTCGCAGGATGCTGAAGCCGTGTTCAGAAGTCGACTTGCAGAAGCACTGGAGCAATCTCTAGCTGAGCATGCCAGGCACGAGAGAAGGAAGCAATGGTCAAGTGTTTGCTTTCTATCCTGAGGCTAAGAAGGTTAAGCGGTCATTATCATTTGCTTTCCATTTTCACCACAATGTGTTCAATGAGTATCGGAGGCATGGGGTAAGAAACAATGTTCAAAGATTTGAAGTTGAAGCAAGGAGTATATGAGTATTGATGTAGAAACCGTGAGAGGAGCTATGACGACCTCAGCCCCCGTTTTACCATTCAGCACCGTATTAGTTACTTTCTCGGGCCAAACCGCTACCTCCGGTCACCTACCATTCGATCACTCCAAGAAGTTGCGAAGCTCCGCAGTCGCCTCGCACCATTTCGCGAGTGCGTGTTGAAGCCTGGTCAGCACTCTGGGGCCATCATTTGGCGCTATGGCCCGAGTGACCTTGAGGGCGTGTGGGCTCGTATCCAAGAGGTGGTCAAGGAGATGTGGGAAAACACTGGAGAAGGTCGCAGTGCGGCCCAGTTGCGGAGAATGCGTGCTTTGTACAAGTCACGTGCACGTGTTCGCAGCAAACACTTGCAGCGTTGGGAACAACAGCATATGGGCAAGAATGACAAGTCTGCCAGAGTCCGCCCTCGCGTCAAGAGGAAGCGACAAGCAATCGACAAGCTGCTGTTGGTCAGAAACTTGCTTCTTCGATGGCACAATGCCTTGAAGAAGCAAGAGCAAATGGCAGAGTGCCAGCGACGGAAGGTTTTGCGTCAGCGAAAGAAGGAGCAGACGGACCGTCGACGGCTTGAAGTGTTGAAGCGCAAACGTGCGAGGGAAGAGCAAGCGGCAAATCGCCTCAGGAGCAGGGCAGGGCCTGGTCACACCATACTAAGTATCAAGTATATCAAATACTGTTTTGAATTCCAAAATTTCTGGGTAGCAGAGAGTGTTCTTCAACGGTGACAGGGGTGATTCGTTTAGAGCTTCAGTGCATGCTTTCACCATACAGGAGAGAGGCTTTGCGGAAGAGGATGAAGGCTGATCTCACGATGGATGAGATCTTTAGTCGTTTGGATGCAAAGATTGGTTCCTCGAGGCCCTGACGGGTGGACCAGTGGAAACCGCCCCGAAAAACGCTGTCGTTCTTTTCCTAAAACCAGGCGGATTTTTTCATCATTGGGTGTATCTTTAATTCATAGGGAGACCCAACCAATGGGCTTTGTGTTTTTCTCCTCTTTTTTCCGGTTCAAAATGGGAGACTCCCGTTCGTTGGGATCTCGTCGTGGAACACCGTTTCCCGTGCACGTCGTGACAGTCGGTGAGACTGTCTCCGCGATACGAACGGATCCCAACGACGGTTCGGTGAACCGTTTGATGAGGCGTTCGGATCATTCGCCCAACGGTTGGGGTGGGGGAGGGGCACCAGAATAGAGAAAACCCGTGAGCTTCCCTCGTGCACCTGGTTTTTTAAAACGTACCACTGATCAAGCAGCTGCAGATGCCGTATATCATCAGTCAGGACCTGCAGATTTGCCAGCAGTGAAGACACACCCGCTGTCGCAGGCCCTTCGCTGCCTGAACCACTGGAATTCTTCCCAGATCCCTACTTAATGAGAGACAGCGCCGCCTGGAAACACCGCTCAAAAAAAGACGAACAACGCCTGGCACCTGGTTTTAGATCGTGGATTTCACCCGTTGCCTCCAACGGAGGCACCCCTTTGGAACTTCTGGTGCTATGTAGTTTTGCGTAGTTTGTTTCTCATTGTTTCTGAAGACCCCTATATATCTTGGCTTGCCCAATATCGGGAAAAGGATGGAAAAGGATGCACACTGAGTTTCACATGTCCTGCTTATCTTAATGTCTTAGGAGAAGGAGGTGAGGCAACCTCAATTACTTCATTAAACACCAACTCAGGGTTGTTTGGCTTTACAAGGATCTTGTTATTAAGTCATCTTGTCTTCGCCTAAGAGAGTTTGTCCTTGGGAACAGCCATTCCTTCGCCGTTGGCCTCGCCGAGACGCGAAGGGTCACCGCTTTCCCTGCGCTTTTTCAGCGCGCCACGGGAGTTTGCCGTTGACAGGTTCGGATGGCATCGAAAGTTCCGCGCCGCGCGTTCAGTCTGAGAAGAATTCTCCGCGCCAATTCGCGTGGCATGAAAAAGGTGGTGCTTCAGCAGCGGATTTCGCAGGGGTGTCAGAGATCTTGGCTTGACCCACGGGTCGCCTCCAGCTGTGGGCTTCACAGAAGAAGTGAAATCGAAGATCTACAAAAGCGGGTCACTGTCCCTTTCTGCTGGCGCCATGGATTGAGGCCTCTCGGAAGGTTTGATCAATGTCCAAGTAAACAAGAGTTTGGATCAAGTCAAAGCCTGATGACAGAAGGACACCGCCTGTGTTGTTCTTTGTGTGCGGGAACCTTTTCTGGAGATCCCACAACTCCAAAAATTCTGAGTGCCCTGCAATCAGCAATATGATCAATATGTATATATATAGTATATAGAGTGGTCTTTTGAATATAATATACATATGATATGTTACATATGTTGCATACGTACACTTCAAGGCAGGACCTGATTGACCAGAACGAACCTGTGGGTGCGAAGGTTCATCCCTTCCATCGGACGGACAGCCTTGGACGGCCGGTCGAACACACCCCGTCGCTGGTTTTGAAGGCGTCGCTGGATGAGCCATCGGAAAGGTCGCTACACCCTCGAAAATCTCAGAAGCTTTGGACCACCAAATAGAAAAGCAAGCGTTTTTTCGAAATGCTTGCTGCTTGCGGGATCACTATACTATACTATACTATACTATTTAAGGGCTGCCGCCCCTGCCGCCGACCCCGATTCTCAGGTCCGGCTTTTCCTCCATTGGTTGGCAACAAGTCACTAGCAACTCTGTAAAGATGGCCGACAGAAGACCGAGAGGAGCCTACATCACTCCACTTAGAACATCATCCTTGCAAACAACATGTTTCGGTCGATTTCATCAGCTCCAATGCCAAAATCGAATCAGACAATATGGTTAATAATACGACAGATAAGATGACATGACATGGTCTAGTTAGGATTTAGCAGGATCAGTTAAAACATTCCCGCGTTATTTATAGGAATGGAGGTCGCAGCTATTAGCAGTGCAGACGCACACGACATCGGTGCAAGTAAGCCGTTCTCTCACCTCCCACGGGTGCTCTGGCTGGTTGACACCTGC